CCGAGGGTCGGCAGCCTGGACCGGGTCCCCTCAGACGGGGGTGGGGCGCTCCCAAGGCTGAAATGCTGACGCGAAGGGTCCCAAGAGGACCGTGAGAACCTCCCGTCTGCACAGGGCAAAGGCTCGGTCGGTGGCTGCTGGGCCCACGACGGGGCAGAGGGTGGGTAGCCGCATTTCCCGCTTGCAGGGGAGCCATCCAAAACAGGACCAGGCCCGAGTCAGCAGCCTCAATGGTGGGACAGAGGAGGGGCGAGAAGAAATCGGCTTCAGAGAATCCCTCCGGAGAAACCCACTTTGGGGGAGGTGGGGGCCGGTAGTCGTGAGGAAGCTGCGGGAGTGAGCAGAAGGCCCTGGATCAGGAAAGGGCGACCTGCGCGCGCGCGGGGCCGGAGAGCGCCGGCTCGCCAACCCACTCACCCCGTGTGTGGAACTCGGGGGCTCCTGGGGGCTCATCTGGCAAGGGGCAGCCTCCGAGGGGCTTCTCCTGGAACCTCCCTCCTGGGCCCAAACCCAGGAGGTTGATGGCCAGCTCTGCGGCAACAGTGCCAAGCCTACCCAGTGTCTTCTCCAACGAGACTCTCCTCAGGAGATCCTTTGGCTCCCTTGGGCCCACACCTGCTGTCAGGAGGTCTCCGAAACCCTGTGGGCACCTGCTCAGGCAGCTGGAAGAGCAGTATGCTCAAGGCTCCCGGAGGCCAGGAGACTCTCCGTCCCTCGGGCCACATCTCCACCCCTGCCTCTCAGGCCCCCTCTCGGGATCCCAGGTGCTTTCACAGCTGACCGCCCTCTAGTGAAAGAATGCGGACTCCACGGGCTGCGGCTGGACGCTTGCCACAGCACAGGCTTGCATGGAGCTCTGTTCTAGGGAAGGGAAGGAAAGAAAAGTGGGGGTCCAAACGCTGTCAAGCCTGACAGGCCCCCCACACCCGGGAGCGGAACACCAGGCATTCCAGGGCACGGGCCTCGACCCTCAGCCCTCCTCTGCGTGTCTCCTCCGGCACCCTTTGGGCTCAAGCCGGCCCTGCATTCCCTGCCGCGCACCCTGTGCCCTCCTCACCTCCCTGCCCACGTGCAACCGCTCAGCTCCTCCCAGGGGCCTCCTTCTCCTTCACGTGGGCCCAGAGCCTTGGAGCATCCCACTTGGGAATGTGCTGGCGGGGCCGGAGGAGGCCTGGGCCGAGGAGGCCAGGACTATGTGTGGCTTTGTCTCCAGCTCGGCCAGGGGGACTATGCTGAAGTGATCGGACCCACACCATGCCCTGGGAGCCAACCGCTTGGGGCTCAGCCCCGGCAGGGGCAGCGGGACTCTGCAAAAGCCTGGGCCTCGCTCCGCCTTCCCTCGACCCTCTTTCCAGCCCTACCCGCTCGCCAGCTTCACTCACCACCCTTCGCCCCGGCTGGGCTCTCACAACCCTCCTGGGCTGGGAAGCCCGCCCCCGCCACCGCCAGTCTCCCCCCAGACGCACACTGTCCTCCCTTCCTCCCTTGAAGCCCACCCCAGGGTCACCTCCACCTCGACCTCTCAGCTCTCCCCACACCCTCCGGTCCCTCCCTGTGTCCGCTCTCCGGGTCCCCCGCCACATCCTCTCCCCATCTAACCCTCGCCGCTTCACCACACGCAGGCCTCTCCCGCAGCTTGCCTGAGGAACCTCTGGACAGGGAATTGAAATACCCTCCTCATCCGAGGAAGCTTAGACGTCAGGACTCCCCCGCAGCCTCGGAACTTTGAGTGACATCCTCTCTTCCCCAGAGCCGCACAAGGCCCATCCAGGCAAACTTCGCTCCTTCCCAGGATCTGCTCCTCTCTCAACCCGTGGGGTGGGCGGGAGGCACGAACTGGACACTGGACGCTGGATCCCCTGCTTTCTAGCCCCCAGCCTTGCCCATCCGATCCTGTGAACGGGGAGGACAGAGTCTTCCCTGATCCTAGGCAAAGAACTCCATTGCCCTCAAGATAGGAAGACTCAACAAGGCTTTAGGAATCCTTCAGGTGGAAGCAGACAGGGAGAAAACAAATCCGTGTTTTATTGGGACTTACAGAAGGAGAGTCTACTCACTGGGGATGGGTGCGGAACGGCACAAGCCAAAGGAGAAAGGGAGTCTTCTCTCCAGAAAATACAAAGGAAAGTGTCCGCGTCGCCAGAAGAAAACCCATCATCGTCCCTCCCCAGTTCCTTCGGTGCTGTGGAATGGCGTCTGCTTGCGCTCCATCTCTGGGGAGCGCTCTCACGTCCCCATCGGAAATGCAGCCCCGCTGCCCTGGGACCACGTCCAAGTCACTGAAGCCGTGTCATGAGAAGCCTGTGCCCACGAGGACCCAGGCAACGTCCTTGGCCACCGCTCTCTGAGACAGTCTCTTGCGTGGGAGATGGAGCACCTTGGCCCATGGCTGGCACATGAGCGCCCTCGGGGAAGCACCGCCACTAATCCAGCAACAAATCTCCAGATGCCAGGGGATGCCTGACGGCTGTGCTTCCCTTAGGAACGATCAGCTCCCAAGTGAAAGGGCCCATGAGACTTGCTGACCCACCTCATGCCACTGACAAGCACACCACTTCGCTTCGTCTCTGTGGCTGCAAAACTGGCCAAGCCTGAAGACTTCACGCCGCGAGAACACAGAGAACACAATCGCAGCGCACAACAGGCGAGAAACACAGATCTCTCCAAACGGAGAAGACTTGGCTTTCCTCCTTCATCACGGACACCAGCGAGTCGTTGCAAAGCACCCAAAGGATGCCGAAAGACAGACTCTGGGCCTGGGATCCGTGGGGGCAGACACACTTTTCTCTGCCCCTCCTAAGTCAGGAGGGTGGCTCTGTGCACCTAGCCCTTGGGGGACTGCCTCCAGGGCCCCTGTGGGTGGGGATCTGGGTCCTGGGTCCAGTGGCACATCGTCAGTGTCTTCAAAGATCAGATGCTTTTCTCTTACCTTCACCCATGTTCTGCTGCCAGCGAAACGACCTGTTCTGGAAAGAGCCCAACTCTGGGACGTCGCCTTCCAAAGTGCAAGAAGGAGAGAGCCATTGCGTCCCCGTCCCCGTCCCCGGAGCTGAAAAAGACAAGATATGTGGCGGTTCCTTCTGAGTACGAGGGGAGGGGCGGGGGTGCGAGGGGAAAAGGGTGGGACTAGCACCAGTTGTTTCCAAAGGAAAATCAACGAAGGCAGAAAAGCAAATCCCTCGCGGCTTAAGAAAGCTTCTCCACTGAGATCACGGGTCCGCAGGGTCTCGGCCATGGGCACAGCGCCTCATCCTGCCCTCCGAGCTGGGCGCGTGCACGAGCGCTCCGGCCCTGGACATGGAGCCAGACCATCCGCGGCTCAGCTCTCAGCCCCGTGAACAATCACAGCCAAATCACAAAGGGAACCCAAAACTCAAAAACCAAAGGAAAAGAGACGTCCATCGCCGGCCAGCCTTAGCCCCATTCCGGGCAGAGGTGCCGCTGGGGCTCCGGCCCCGCAGGGAGTCAGGGCATCGCCCCATTGGGCTGCCGGCTGCCGACAGGCGGCAAGATTTGCCGAGCACCGTCTCCGAGCGAAAGAGCGGCACGCGCGGCCCTGGGCTCCGGCCCCCATCTCCCCAACCCCACCTCCAGCCCGCACTCCACTCACCAGCCCTGGGAAGCTCTGCAGCCTGGGCTGTGCTCAGGCCCCGCCTCCGCACACACTGCCCTCCGGGCCCGACACACCGGCTTCTCAGGGCCCTCGACCCCAGCCCCAGCTGCATCTCCACTCCAGCCCAAGCCTTGGCACTACCGGCCTCTGCCGGCCCGCCGCCTGCCAGCCACCCTGGGGCCCCTCTCGCACAGCCACTTCCCCCAATCCCCGGGCTCGGGGCAACTTCCTGTCTTCACTCACTTCGTCGCTCCTCTCTCAACTCTGCAAACCTCAGCTTCTTGGCTTGGCTTTCAGCACACACCTAGTGCCCTGGGCCCGCGGCTCAAACTCACGAAGACACTGCCTTCCCGTCTAGAAGCAGCAGCTTAGAGAGAATCAAGGGTGTCGGTTCTGAAGGTTTTCAGGAGCGCATTTCCACGTTCGCCCACACGGAAGGCTACTCAGAGCGCTTCCCTGTGGCTCCTATCGCCGGGCACCACACCCTCTTTGCCCAGCACCACACCAACGTCTCTTCTCAAAGTCCAGGAACCAGACAGTGGAAACCGGCCTTCCATGGCTGCCGTGGGCTCAGTCGAGCTCCTGACAGAGGCCCTCAATTATTGCAAACAAGTAAACTAAATACATATCAGTAAGATGGAAATGTTGGGTGAACTTTTGAACAACAATTAGCTGTTCTGGTGTATGTACTGAACTTCGAAACCTTTGGTTCCTTGAAACCTTCGAGTTTTGTTAAATTCAGTCAAATGATAGAAATTTATTGAATCTCTAGATCATTTCCAAATAAGATAATATATTAGACAGTAATTCTTAGATAGAGGTTTAGCTACTTTGGGCTTATTTGGACACAGAAACCAAAAGAGGTTTGGGTCTGTTGGGAAACATGTCTTGCATTTTTATCTGAAGATTGTACCATGAAGCAGTATGTTTCTGGAAATTATAAATATATTTATAAATTTGCAAAGCCACAGAATGGCAGTGGAAAGGACCGTTTATAATTGCTTCCTTCTTGGTTTTTACTGAAAACAAGGTCTGTAAAGGCTGAGACTTCGAAGGAAGAGATGAGATTAAAGCTACTCAAAATCAAGAAGCAAGACATCTTTGTGCTCTAAGGAAAGTAAGGTGTATGCTTTCAGTCGAGAAGACTTAAGGAATGGAAATATTTTTCTTGGTTTTGGTAAGAAAGATAAATGGGTCCTAAAAAAGGAAAGAAGCCCTAGGACAAATTTTTCATGTCAAAAGGAGCTTCTAGAGTGATGGGGGAAGAAACTCAAAGAAAACAGTTTTGTGCATGATCCAAATGGCTGATGTTGAAAAGTAGTTGAACCAAGTCAATGAGCTTTCCTATCAAAGGGAAGCTGTTGCTAAATTAGATTTTGGTTTTTGCCCTCTCTTAAAAGGATCATTTTCTTAAACTTTTCTTCTTTTCTGGGGAAAGAGATTAGGAAAGATTTTGATGTCTTATCAAAATAAATTTCCAGTATTGTTTTGATG